AAAAAAAAATTACAACGTAAACACCTGTACGTGTTTTTAGATTAGGCGTGAGTATGGCTGCTACGATGAGGTTTTTTTCTCGAACTACAACCTTAACAAGCGTCAGTGTAATTGGATAAGGTTTCTTCATATCGTTCAATCATATGATGAACAAGTTAATCTGATTGGTACAAAAGTAAAAGGTATGTTAAAAGTAACCTAAGAATACAATTAAAACAAAAATAACTTATATATTCTAAATAATATAACTCTCATATATTGCAAATAATAAATTAATAATTTAAAAAATAAATTTAATGAAAAAAGAATTATTAAACATCTAAGCTCTAGTCCATCGAGTTCTCTTTCTGTTCTTTAAAATTTATTACTGGGTTTGTTACATTGATTGTTTAAAAGTTACATGTAAGCATAATTTGAAATTTGTTATAGTGCAGTGGCAATATATTAATGTTATTATTTTCTTTCTATTTGTTATTTTATTTTATGTTTTTGATTTATTTGTTATTCTTTGGTTATTGTTTTTTAGGTGAACCTATATTTGAAGTAATAAAAGATGTTCAACCGGATACAGAATTGGTTGCTTGGTTCTTGCCAATATCGCAACAGGATTTCGTTATTATTTCGCACGATGTATGTTCCAGATCGGCAATCTATAGATGTATGATTGATTCTATATTAGACGGTGAGTGTAAACACTTTTATAGATATTAGTAATTGACAACATTATTGCAAAAATTTGTTTTCAATGTACGCGAATGACTTAAAAAGTTGTAATATTGCGTGAATATTTGAAAATGATTCTTGTACTTTATATGTCATGCATATGTGTGCAGGTTTCTTCTCTCTCTGTTGTGCGCATATGTATACATGCTGTTGTGCGTGTACGTGCGTGCGTGCGCATATGCATGCATTTGTATGTGTAAAAATGAACGTAAAAGCAAACAAACTTGTATCTATGTAAACATCTTATATTTTTTGTCACATTTAATGAAGCTTATAATCTGAAAATTAAAAAGCTGTCACAGTTATCTCATCTTATTTGGAATCTTATCTTATTGGAAAAATATAGTTATAAAGAACTGTTAAATTATGTCGTGTCAATATTATTAAAATTATACATTACCGTCTATACATTATTTATTTGTATCTGAGATTAATATGCATACAAATAAACATATATTTATACAAGTAAAATTTATTTGTGCAAAGATACATTAATATGCATACATATCAAGAAGTTTTATTAATAAATTATATAGTTTCATTTATTCATTAGCCTTTATTTCTTTTTAATTCATTAATGACCACTCTTTATTTTATTCAAAGCAATTAAATTAAATATCTGTATTATAAGTTTTATCATATTATCATTTTATCATATTATTAATATAATATTAATTCTTTCTCTCTCTCTCTCT